TTATTTATATAGAAGTTCAACTTGACATTTTATTCTATTGGAATTAGGGTTTACAAATACTTTAATCTATATGTGAATAATTATACTAATTGATTCTTTGCCACATTTTTTAAGATAAGCTAGCTACTTAACTTCATGTTTATGGAAAATAATAACTACTTTTTTTTTCTAGTAACTAATTTTGTAAAGCTTTTTGTGAAGTTATGTGTGCATGTGTCAGTGAGAGAGAGGTTGAGCAAATGTGTTTGTTGGGTTAAAATTAAAACTCAATATAAAAAAGAAAGGATTTAAGTGTTTCAGAATTAAAGTTGTTAGCATTACTTTATCGTCATTATTTCATTGTTAGCCGCGATAAAGATAGAAAATAGTAAAGGTAGAAAAAGTAACTCTGATCTGTTGATTACAAATGACTAGAGTGATTTATACATGAGGGAAGAAGGGACATGAGAACTAGCTCCACCCATTCTATTAATGATTATTGTCGTCAATCTTACATAAATATCCAGTCAGTCAACATTAATAATAATAGAGTTTATGATTATCAAGCTAATTAGTAGACTCTATAAGCAGTCTATGACTACTCAATCACCATCGATTAAAAGTTATGATTGGAAGTTAATATTTATACATTATGATCCTTATTGTCACGTATTTGTGTTTTCACGTGATATAATCCATCTTACATGACCATCTATTTCATTATAAGTTGTGATAGATTAATTGAACCAGACCCAACTTTTCAACCAAGAGTCAATTAGGATAGTACAATTTGCATGTTTTGTGAATAGTGATTCATCAATTAGACTAGACCCGAATTTCAATTCTTATATATCTTCTATCAATGTATGATTTCTTTATATTTGAGTTTGAATTGAGTCTAGAACTACATGTCCCACTAGTACATAAGTAGAAAGAGAGTGTGTGGTGATGTATATACAATACATACACTGCACGAGGTACTAAAATGATATATATCGCCAACCAAGCATCTCCATCCATTCATATGATCGTGACCATTTAAGGTTCAATGCCACATTTAAGAATCTTTTCATCGATCATAGCGAACCCTTTTCGTGCGCTGCTCCATCACCACATCATTATTGTTTGGATTAGTGCATGTAATAGTCATCAATGTGCTTAACCAAAAGAATATTGATAAGAATCAAATTCATAATCTTTTAAGTACGAAAATTATGTTTCACCCATTTTATAATATTTTATTTTATAATATATGTATGTTGTATTTATAAGTTTGGATGACATCTAACGGTTACTAAAGGGCTAATTAGACTACCGATCAGATGCTTGTCCAATGACAACAATTCTCTTCATAATCAGATCGGGTAGCAAGAATATAATATAGGACAATTGTAACAAACTCAATATGTGTGTCCTCATCAAGACTAGCAACTAGGATGATCGGATATCTCGAGTAAAGTTAAGACAGATATACTGAACTTCTGAAATCTACTCTGAAAATCCTTTAGTTTTTTGTCATGCTTGATTCGAGTTTGAGCCAATAGTCTGTTACCGAGTGACACAAATTAATAATATCAACCTCAACAACTATAATTCTTGATGATTTAATGATATGTGTTAATTAATTAGTCAGAAACCAAATTCAGTTAATCACACAAACGGTCGGTGCTGGAAACCAAAGTACCACGAAGCTTCCTCTTAGGTAGTCCAAACCAAATTCAGTTATCCCTTCATTGTATCTAATCATACTCTCATTACTTTAATTAATTGCTAATAATTAAACTCTCTCAGCTCACACGCACAGAAATCTATCTCGGCAATTACAAACTATATATATATTGCTTTCTTCGATCTGCATGCCTAGCTGTTCCTGTCAATCTATACTTTCTTAATATTAGATTTGTCATTTTATTACCCTCATCGAACTTTTAATTTATAAAAAAGTCTGTATTTATTATTTAAAGATGTGATTTAGGTAAAATTTGCCTGATAAATTTAACTGATAAAAATCACAATGAGATAAATCAACTTAAGTTGTTCATATATGACTGGATAAAAAAGAGAAAATAATAAATTATTTTACCTGTAATTTATTCAAACCATTTTTTAGAAATTGATTAAACAATATTTTGAATACACCCTAGAAAAGTGTTGTACTACTTTAAATGGCCTGGGAATATTGCTTCGATTATTGAGTTTGTTGCGTTAAAGGAAAGATTTGTCTGCGAGCTTTATTTTATTGCTAATAATCAAATCAAATGTATAAATAACTAAATATTAAAGTTTTTTTTTTTTAAAGAAAAAAAAATCAAGGATGAAAGGCTCAAAGCCAGCTGTCTTGTTTGGACTTTAGTACATAGAACGTGCAGAAATGAACTTATCATCACCTTTTAGGCACCTAGTTTTCTCACTGCCCAATTAATTGCTCCCTTAATCATAGGAATGATTCATTTCCCTTCATTATTCTTCGCAAAAGGATCAATCTCCAATCCCAAGGACCCCTCATATCCCGACTCGATAGAGTATCTGGGAATATGTAAATTATGAAAATGATTCATTTTCCTTCATTATTGTACTTGCATTTGGGAGGTGATAAATTAATCGAGACACATTTTACAATTTATTTTATTTATCAATTCTCTATGACAAAAGCGATGAGAAATTTTTAAATTTAGATTTTAAACTTATATACAGAACAACTAATGAACAATCATTATTTAGAAAAATTATAAGTATTGCTTAATTAAATTGGACAACCAAATTGGTTATGATCAAATAATCAATCAAATATAAAATATCACATCAGATGTGACTTGTGTAATGTGAGAAACGTATAGTATTACGACCTTATCAACTAAGGGTGTGTTAATATTGAGGATGGATGGAGCAGTGAAAAGACTAATTGGATGAACTGTTATTAAAATGATTTAACATTTCAATTGTAAATATTTCTATTTGAAAAAATAACAATGATCTAATAGAAGTTATTAGTATTGTCAAAGCGGAATGGGACATGACAATGCCCAAGGACCAGCAAAATTATTTAAACAATTTGAGTTAAATGAAAATTAATTCAAAAATCAAATAATTAGATAATAAAATAACTTAAATAGTTTAAATAAATATTAGTACAAAGTTTTAAAGTCAATAATATGCTTAAATAGTCCAAAATGAAATTAGTACAAAGTTAAATTTCAAAATGCAAAAATCTAAAGAGAAGGTTAAATTAATTTTTGGTGAACAGGCCCGTGTAACTTAACTCTTGACAGGCATCTAAATCTATCTAATTGTCTCTACCTTATTATGCAATTGGATGAGTTGTATTATCGAATGAATAGCTCACAAACCACATAAGAAAAGACTCGATTAAGAGAATGTTGACAAGAATTAAATTCACAATATTATGGTACGAAAATAATGTTACACTCATTCGACCACCATACTTTTCTTGAACAATATAATGATGGGTAGCTTATAACTAAAGGGTGATGATATCATTTTCTTGTATATAAAGGTGCATAGTGATATATATTATCCCATTCCGTACCTAATAGTCTAATACGACGTTAATACGGGTCTAAGCTATATACAATAATACAATATAGTACCACGTAGTGTTTTAATAAATAAATATTTAATAAATGGAGTTGTTTTGTCGTCGTCCGCGCTGTTATGCCTATATTCGCGACGACTCATGTTGTGGGACCCACGCAACCCAATTATTATAAATAAATGAAAGAAAACTATACAATTTTTGGTGGTCGAGATGTAACATGTTCATGTTGTACTTTGGATTACGACCCAACTCTCTCCTTCCAAATTTAAATTCATTATTAATTAATTAAGAACTACTTCATCATCTTCTTACATCCATTCATCAACCTACTTTTACTTTTAAACTCCCTGCAATATTACAAATGTTCTCAGGATGAAGGATTAAAGCGCTTATCATTATGTCAAAAGTTATAGCTAATATTGAAAATATAATTAACTTTATTTTTTTACATTTGCAGAGCATCCCGTGCAATTTTTAATAACAAGATGTTGCACTTGACATTCTTTGTCTTTGTTTAACGATCCTTCAGTCAACACTTGTTAGCCTCAACTACAATATGCTCATTTAATGCTAGTTGTTAGTTCAATCGTTTATTACTATACCAAAAGTTATAGCTAGTTAGCCGCGAAAGTGCAACTTTATTTTGTCAAAAATCATAGCTAATATCGAAAGTATAATTGACATTATTTCTTTATATTTGCGTAGCATCTAGTGCAGTTTTCAATAATAAGATGTTGAACTTGACCTTTCAAGTCCCTGTTTAACAAACCTTTCTCTCAACACTTGTTTGTTCAATTGTTTATTACTATACCAAAAGTTATAGCTAGCTAGCTGCAAAAGTACAACTTTATTTTCTTATATTTATATAGTAACTAACATCACATTTTTATAGTAGAATGCTAGATCAGACTTGACTTTATAAAAATATGCCTAACAATACATTTACATCACTAGTGTCATTTGGATTGATGTTATATATTGATAATGTTCATCAACAATGTGTCATTTTTTGTCAAAAATTGACAAACTCCAATAACTTTGATTTAACAATAATATGTAACCTTTTTCAATTACCAATTAAAAAATATCATAAAAAACTCCTTGTATATATTACCACACAAACAAGGTATTTGAATTGCTTGAATTTATTCTTTAATTAATTAATTGCAAATAAATTAAAACCTACAAGCTAGCTAGCTAGCTTCTATTGTTATTTTCCCCAATTATTACAATCTTAGCTTGCACTTAATCATGACTGCCTAGGTCAAATGCCCTTAAAATGAAGGGCATGGTGACTTGTATTCCTCTTTAAAGAAATAATCCCACTTTCTAAAAAGACTAATATAACCTAGGGGCATTTTTGTAATTTCACTTAGAAGCAATATTGAAAAAAAAAAAAATTATTTTCCCCATGTGTCGGGTCGGGTTGGTGCTATATATAACTAACATTGAATCGTCTTCTCCATCCACTTGAGAGCCAGAAAGATAAGATAGAAACTAGAAAGTTTGAAGAGATCAGAAGAATTTTAATTTTGATTTTATTTTTCTTCTTTTTCAATTCGATCGAGAAAATGGGCAATAGTCTAAGGTGCTGTTTGGCTTGCGTTCTTCCATGTGGAGCTTTGGATTTGATCCGTATAGTGCACTTGAACGGCCACGTGGAGGAGATAACGCATCCGATCACCGCCAACGAAGTGCTTAAGAACAATCCCAATCACGTTTTGAGCCAACCCAGTTCTCAGGGCATGGTTCGCCGGATTCTGATCCTGTCGCCGACGTCGGAGCTCAAGAGGGGCAGCATCTACTTCTTGATTCCGGCGTCTTCCATCCCCGCCGACAAGAACAAGAAGAAAAACGCCGGCAGCGCCGCCGTGAAGTCCGGGAAAAAGAGCGGCGAGAAATTGTTCCACGTTAATGGAGCAGCAGCAGCGAAGGCCGGGTGCGATCGTTATTCCACGGAAAAGAAGTCGTCGTCGTCGGCGTCGCACCGGCGGCGCCGGAGCGGTAAAGTCGGAGAATGGAGGCCCCATCTCGCTAGCATTTCAGAAGATTAATCAATCCAACGTTTTTGTCCTCCCAGGCATTTGCATGGGGAATTTCGATCTTGTGGATATATTTTCTTTTGCTTTTTTTTTTTTTTTTTTTTTTGGGTGTTTATTCAACCTGGATCTGCATGTAACAACGGCGGATCAGAAGCTGAAGCCGGCGGCGGTGACGGCCACGCCGGTGCATGTGTGAGTGGAGACGATGATGATGGAGTGTTACGTTTTTGCCCCCAAGAAATTGACAAGAAAGGGGTTTTCATGGTTTGTACTCAGAGGATGGGAAGTTGTACTTTGAGCAACAAAAACCCTCGAGGAGATTCATGTATCCAATTCAAGTAAAAGAGGAAATGCAAAATATTCATATTTTTCCTCTTTCTTCTCAATTTTTGGGGCTAAAATTGACTAATAACATTTCATGTAATACATACTTTTTTTTTTTTCTTTTTTCAATTCTCTTTTCAACTATTTCTTCTTTCACCTATTTATTATTTCAATGTCAACTGGATCATTTTCATACATTTTTCTCACTTATAATTACTTTTAAATTCAGTCTTTTTCGCTTAATAATATTCTTGATTTTTAAATCGTTTGTTCATACTAAGTTATTAGGTAATATTGAACTAACCACGTATAAAATCATTAAATCACATGACTCGCGCATGCACAAGAGATGTGTCCACTTTGAGAATAATTCTCACATTGCTGTTGTCGAGATTCAAACTTTGATCTCTTCTTTCAAATATTGTCTACTGAACCAATGAGTTAAACTCGTGCGGATTGAATTGGCTAAGGCCTGTATAAGTTGGAGGTGTGGTTGGACATAATTAAGGGTTGAGAAATTGTCAATCTTATTATTATTATATATATATATATATATATATATATATATATATATATATATGAGCTAGAGAAAAGAGTTATCAAGTGCATGAACCAGAGCTGTAAGCTAGCTTGTGGTGTTACATTTGATCTGTTGGGGTTGCAATAATTAATTAATTAGGAACTGATAATTGGGGAGTGGAGGGACAGGGCTATGAACATGTATTAAATTAATTATTATCCTTAATAATCGTAATATGATGTATTTATTATGACATCTCTGACTTAGGCATCTAATGATAAAAATTCATAACCATTATTTGATAGTGGTGTGATTAAATTAGATAAACTCTAGTTATTACAAATAGTGGTGTGATTAAATTAGATAAACTCTAGTTCTGTGTAATAACGACATTGACAAGAATCAAATTCTGATACAAGAATTATGTTATACTCATTCAATAACTTATTTCGCCCTCAGATGTAAATCATGCTAACTCAACTGAATCACAGAGATTAGACTTTTATTTACTACGCATAAGGAGCCCCTCACTTTGAGAGGTACCTTTACTTAGTGCACACAAGGAGTCTCCCTCACTTTGAGAGGTTGCGCCCACACTATCGTTGGTGAAACTCGATTCATGGTCATTCTTTCCAAATAAACTTCACTCTCTGACCAGTTGAACTGCTCATGCGGACATTTCAGGCAATATATTAGTAATACATGTGGATGATCTGGAAGTGGGGTTAGTGAATGATGCCAAATTAACGAGTCTTAGCTCAGTTTGTGGTGCAGACTGCAGAGAGACGAGCGTGGAACGATTCCATGTATGTCCCACATGTGCATCTCAATAAAAATCAATTTTTTAATTACTTTGAATTATTAATTTAATATTATCCTTAATGAATTGTGTTAAGCAATACTTCGGTGGTTATCTAAAAATATTCCCCCTTCTGTCTCATTTGATATGTCGAATCCGGTTAACGATACTTGATTGAAGTTATTTATATTTTAATTTTTCATAATATTAAATTTAAAGTTTAAAGTACATTGTAATAGAGTCAGTAGCATTCAAAAAATTTAAAGTTAGTATGTAACATTTATATATTTAAAAATTTCATTAAAGTACTATTAAATACAAAAAAAAAAATAAAAAATTACAATTTATAAAAAAATACTAATAAAATAAACAAAAAAAAAAAAGAATTGATTTGACTATTTTGAAGTTGTGCATTATTATGTCGTTATATTTCACTAAGGGCCGGTGTATGATTGATTAACTCCACTATTTTTCTTCTAAGAGTACATTTTTATTTGATATGAAGAGTATCCGAAACCAACATTAGATGTCAATTAAATGTACAATAATAAGTAAAATAAAATGTCGTCATTTCTAAGATTTAATATAATACAAATAACACGGGAGAAAAAAAAAACATTAAAAAAAATCCCAAATTAAAAAACATTGTACTTTTCGAAATATTATGCATATGAATCAATCAATTCAATCGTACCCCGCCCTAATAGCGACAACTCCAAACTTCTACGTACACCTAATTAAATGCATGCAAACAAGTATAGTAGCTGGAAATGTATATCTAAAATAATAATTAAAAAATAAAAATAAAATAAAATTAAAGAATTGAAACCACATACCCTTCTCAATATCCCAACATCTACATGTTAATGTTACTGTCGTATATGAATATTGTGTGTGTATAATAAAAGAAAAATGATAGTACAAAGAGTATGTCACATTAAGAAAAATGATAGTACAAAGTGTATGTCACATTAGTAAAAAACTAATATAAAATGTGAAAGTGATGAGGTTAATTATATGACATAACTCAAGTTCCTGGGAACTAGTTACGATAACTAGGGCGGTTAGTCAGATATGTTGTACCCAACTAAGAGTACAGTTGCCAAGTCAGACCCAGCCAATACTACTGTCACAAAGAACCAATAACGCCTCCACTGAGGTTTGAACTCATAATCTTCTAAATGGAAGTCCAACTCGGATACCATTAGACCACATAGTCCTAATCAATAAAGCGCGTGTTACTTTCCACAAAATTCATTATATTTTTATATATTCTACCGTATAGTAGCATATGGATATAATACGAGATCTAATTACATTATCGGGGAGTAATTATAGTATTACTACTACATTTATAGTATATATGTTTTTCGTCCTGAACTGGGCTGAAAATGAAGTTTAATACTTTAATTAACATTTAACACGTATCACGTATGTATTAAAGTTTAGGTGAAAATGTGAAATTTTGAAATGTTTAGGGGTCAATTTTTAGTTTTCAGAAATATTGAAATACTGTGCACCATATTTAGTGCAGCATATACGAGCACATTATAAAGTGCATAGTTGTTGACGCTCCATTTTCATAGCATTATGGCAGTGGGACATATCATAATAATTGCATGCATCAAACAAAATACTTTTATAATTATAATTTGCAATATATATGATTGTTAATATTTATGTATTTATACAAAAATTTCATTACAAATATATAATAACGTCTTGAAACATTAAATATACTTTGTAGCTACAACTCCGAAAGATTAAATTTGCTGGAACCATCAAACTCATTTTTTGGAAGTATTAAAGCTAAAATTATCCCGGAAAAACAATGCCTTGCAAGCTCACTTAGTCACATGGAGAGAGAGAAAAATGATTTAATTTAATTTCTTTTATATATGACATGGGTTGCAAGCTTGAAATCGTGATAAAAGGAAATAAACTATAGTCACATGGAGAGAGAAAAATAATTTAATTTAATTTCTTTTATATATAACATGGGTTGCAAGCTTGAAATCCTGATAAAAGGAAATAAACTATATAACTATATAGCACCGAAAGTGGTAAAAACATGATTTTCTTACTTCAAGTCTTGTTAAATATATTCTCTGTCTAGTTTGTCACACAGGATTTATTCCTTGTATACACTTAGATATATTTAATAATCAGTTATAGGAATGGTTATAACCTTCAAATTCCAAACTTGCTCTGTATGCAGCAATTGAACTTCTTGCCTTCTTGGCCTGGACAGCTTAGCAGTTAGTAACAACATATATACATACATATACACACACCAATCGTTATACATGCACCACGGTGCACATAGTAATGTGCGCTCCGCGTCTCCCAAAACGACGTTGTTTTGGTGCACTGTAAAAAAAAAAAAAAATCATTTATTTTGAATACACATAAACTCATAACAGAATACACAGAAACTCATAACTGCATACACATAATTTAACATGATACATAATACACAGAAACTCTTAACTGAATACACAGAAACTCTTACCGAATACATATAAACTCTTAACTGAATGCACATAAACTCTTAACTGAATACACAGAAACTTTTTACTGAATACACATAATGGGGTTTGGGCCGTTTGAACGAACGGAGTGACGTCAGCAATTGAAACGCGCGCGTTTTGTGCCTGGGCGCACATTGCTATGTGTGCCGTGGTGCACGATATAAATTGCGCGCGCGCACACACACACACATATATATATATATATATATATATATATATATATATATATATATATATATATCAGGACAACTAAACAAGTTGGTCAGCCAGTTAATTCCAACCAAGTTGGTCGGACTATTGACTTAGTAACCACAAAGATTTCAACTTTTAATGTGAGCCGTTCTATTTGACCTTGTTAAACAATTTAGATTAGTTACCTTCTTCTGATCCGCTAGAGTCAAAAGGCGAATCCACACCCTCCGATCACGAAGGTGTGTTTCTCTCGCCACTCAATGATTTCAGGTTCAATTCCGTATTAATACATTATATTTTCTAAAAGAGAAGATTATGTTCATTCTTTCTTCCCAAACTGCCACATTCTGTACAAGAAACATGTCTATAGCTACTATCTATTCAGTGAAGAATCTGAGATTTACAGAGAGAACTAAAGAACAGAAAAGATGAGTGTTTTAGCAGTCACCACCATTGGTGCACAAGAACACCACTCTGTCTGAGAGAAACAAGCATCTGCAGGCACTGATCATATGTTCTATGATGCTTTGGGCTCCTGACACCTGGGCAACACCTCTGCCACCTACTATAATGGCATTCAAGAAACAGTTCATCCACCAAACAGATTGCCCCAGTCTCAATCATCCTGGGAATCAAGTGAAACTCAGTCCCTTCCACATCCATTTTCATCACAACATAATCATTCTCCAACCCCAGATTTCCCAACCAGTCTGCAAAATCAAACCCCTGAATCTTATCCATATTCCCCACAAACTCCAGTGATGACTGCACTGTCTGGATCCTCCCCATTCCTCTGCTCCTATCCTCCCTGTTCTTGCTTGGCTCTCGGTTTATCTCGAAAAACAAGGTTTCATTCCTGATCCAGGCTGCATAAGGAAGGAGATTAACCCCCTTTTTCAACCTGTACTCTTCATGGAATGTGCTGTCAGCCTCGATTGCGTAAATCTGGAAGGGCTTTTCCTGTTTTGGATAGTGATTCTTGAACCAGCTTCCAATGCTGGAACCGTAGTTCCTAGCTCCAACATCAATGTATATGTACTTGTTCTTGAAGCTGATGTCCACCATTGATGAGAGATACTTGATGTTCTTTAAATTTCTCTTGAACGTCCGCCATGGCTTCAGGGGTTCTTCAGTGATCAGTGGCTCTGCGTTTCTGATCAATTCTCGTTTGAATCCAGGAACAATGCAGTTTTTTGAATTATCCAGATAGGTTTTGCTTTTTGCCTTGAGGTGATTGAGAAGGTAGGTTTCTTTCTTCAAAACGATTTCGCGGACCGATTGGGGCGAAAAATCGACGCCATTGATTTCGCGAGCTCGGATTAGTGTACAGGAATTGAATAATTGGAGTAGGGAGTTGAGACTGTACGGATCTTTCGCCGATGTGAGGATTACGAAGAAGCCGCCGGGTTTTAGCGTCCTGGAGACTTCCTTGGCGAGCTCGATCGGCGTAGCGGCGCGCTCCAGGCCGCGATCGCCGGAAAATATGAAGTCGAAGGAATCGTCTGTGAAGGGGAACCGGGAGGGGGCGCTGTAGCGGACCAACGGCGGCGATGATTTCCTGGCAATGCCGATGGAGTCGACGACGCCGATGTCTCGCAGTGTGGCGACGTCTTGGCCGGTTAGGGTTTCGATGCAGAGGGTTTTGGAGGGGAGGGAGAGGAAGCCGTCGGCGATGAGGTCTTGGAAGACGGAGGAGTAGAAGTTTCGGAGACGAGTGGCGGCGGCGGCGGCGGCTTTGAAGGTGTCGGGGGCGACACAGTAGTCTTCGGAGTCGCAAGCTTTGCCTCTAATGGTGATGACGTAGGCGAAGCGGGCGAGGAAGACGAGAACGACGAAGGAGAGGATTCTGACCAGAATATTCCCCATCAGATTCGGCTTCGCGACGGTTGTCTCCATGGAAGCATGAAAATGATCGCCAAAGTTTGGCGCCAATATGAGATTTTTCATTTGTTGTAATTTAAATGTGATGTAGGGGTAGTATCGGAAGAGAGGACTAAAATGTGTGTTCGTTGAAACTTGAAACATCTCAACCAAAAATGAATCTTGGATTCTTGGTATCAACTAGCAATCACTCTTTTTTAGATTAACATGTGGTTTAGTGATACGAAGTGGTTCGACTTCTACATTGTAATAAGTCAGTAGTATTAAAAAAAATCAAATTATACTTTTCTGAGCACAAAGAAATCAATTTAAACCTCAATTCCAAACTAAATTGGTAGATCTCATCTCCGAATTATCTTTACTATTGGAAGAAAGTTTTAAAAGTGTAACTGTTCATTCATTAGAACACTGACATCAAGACATCTATGGTATTCTTTTGGAGGAAAAACAAAAACAAACAAACAAAACAAATTTGGCTCTTGTTATCCCATCACTAAGTATACAATTATCTATAGTTTGGAAGTTGATAAATACATGAATACAACTTCAAGTTTCAACTATATGTTTATGTGTCATTCTTAACTAAGTATAGAGTATATATAGACCCACTTGCAGTAAACTTGAGAACAAGACAATGGCTGTATAAACAAATGAATCAACCAAACTACTGCTGACAAGAATCAAGAAACTCATCAGGGCAGTAACATCTGTTGGAACATGCCGTCTCCGAGATCTTCCCTGGATCCGGAGAACACGGTTCCCTGCGTCTGATGATGATTTGCGAGATTCCCAGAGCCCTGTGTGGGCAGAATGCCTGCAAGAAAGCTGGATTGATGATGAGACATTATTGCAGAAGGCCTAATGGCAATTGCTGGACTGTTGTTGGTATTGCTGGGAATTGGTCTGTTGAGGGAGTACTGGCCGCCGCCTCTTGCCGCCGGAACATCGTGGTTGTGTTTCCCTTCGTATGTTGTAATCACACACCTCGTATCATGCGGTGCTCTTTCCACATGTTTCCTCACTGGGCACCCCAGAGTAGTGCATTTGTAATAGCTCCTGTAATGACAATGCAAACACAGAATTTCAGAATAACCCTTTGCACTTTTGAGCATAAAGACTTATAATCTGACTATTAACTTAGACTTTTAGTTGAAATGGTTACGAACAAAATTTTTTACAACATATACTAGGTAGTTAGGGACAACTCTAATCAAGTTGGTTGGTAACAACAAGGTTACTTTCAATTGGAGTAGCATATTGACCTTCTTGGTTTGAGCTGTGATAGTACTAATACACACGTGGACCAGTAGTTAAACCGATCGCCCCTGCTCAGTGTCCGACTAAGTGGTGGTCGGGATGCCCTGAATAGGTATTCGTCTAGCGTTGATTGAAAAGTCCCCTTGCCGTAATAAATGCGGGTATCTATAGGCAAACTGGAGGGGAGCACAACCCGAGCCACCGGCATGGTGAACACATAGTAAATACGTGTCTACAGCTTAACACCACGCTGTTGACACGTAGGGTCTTGCGGGGCTAAGGCGCATGGCGGTCGGGAAAAACACGTGGCAGTTAAATCGGTCGGAATTGATCGAGCTAGGCAGAGGATCGCTAAGCAGTCGATAAGCTATATGCATTGCGACCTAAGTTGGTTTACTGGTCCTTTGTTGGCCAAGGTTACACTGTGAAATTTACGTGATGCACACTCTTGGATAGTGACTGACTGGCTGTTTGTTTCGTCATTAAAAGAAACATAAGCAGTTAAGGTTAAGGTTTTTACCTTGGATTGGGGTTGCCCCTTACTACTTTCTGACCATACTTTCTCCATCTATACCCATCATCAAGAATATCAATATCACTCCTGGTTTGAACTACAACTCTGGGTTCTCTCACAGTCCTACTTCCCAGTGAAGAAATCCCTTCATTTTCATTTCCAGTTTCACCTTTCCTGCAAAAACCACAACTCCAAAACATTAATTAATCACATTCTTGAAGCAAAACATTGCCTTCTAAATGATAACTGATGATGATGAAGCCTACCATCTCTTTGCATTTGAATCATATTCATGAAACTCCTCTCCCCCTAACTCTCTCTTCCGGGAGCTTTGCTCAAAATCATCATCCCCACATGACACTGAAGAATTCTCCGGGAGTGTAGTCAAGGAGGAAGCCGGAGAAGCGGCCGAGGATCTCCGAGTGGTTTGAGGCATAGGATGGTTGTGAGAGCCTTTGTAGACAATCTCAGTAATCTCACCTTCTAAGGATGTCTCGACCTTCTTCCTGGTGGAACAGTTTGGGTGTGTACACTTGTAATAACTTGTTGGATTCTGGCTTCTCTTCACCTGTTTCTGCCCATATTTTCTCCAGTTATACCCATCATCTGACCTCCTTAATGCTTGGTTTTGGTGATTGTAATCTGAACAATTTCCGCCATTGCTTTGAGGGTTAGTAAGGAAAGAGAAATCTGAAAAGCCGCCATTGTCTTCCTGCTTCAGAGCTGCAGTGGTGTTCCAGTTGAAAGGCTGAGCCGGAAAAGTTCCGGTGGTCGGAGAAGGCAAAAGCTGCAAGAATTCATTCATAAATAACAAAATCAGTGTATACATACAGTCCCAGTTAGTTATATATCCTCCCCAATCATGAAAAAAAATATTAGATTTCAAGATTTGGCGCATACATTGGAATCGGAGAGGAGAACCGGCGAGTCCAGGAGCTGGGTGGGGCTAGGAAGATTCGCAAAGTAAGAGGAAGGAGAGAGAGGCAGAGAAGGCGGCGATAAAGACTTAAACTTGGGTGACGGCCCACTCCTCTCGCCGCCGGCGGTGGCTGGGTAGACATCTCCGGCCAAAAGGTCGGTGAAGGAGGAAGAGGCAGTGGAGTATACAGTCCCTGAAGAAGCAGCCATTACAGAGACGTAAACTAAGGTGGAAGCTCTGTGGGAATGAAATGTGCCCACACCGTATTTATACGAAATAGTAATTTTTTAAAAAATCTCCTGTTGACTCCGTTATTTAATGGTTGACTCCATTATTATTTGACTATTTATAAAGCATCTTAATTAATATTCATCTCTGTCATTTTATCTGTCACGCTTATTATTCATTAGTTAAATCAATCATTTCTTTTTTGCTTACTTTCTTTAGTATTTTTTTTAATGTAATTGCTAAATATATAAATTTTATATATTAATATTAAATTTAATATTATGAAATACTAAATTAAAAATAACTTCAATCAAGCTTTATTTATCGAACCAAATACATTTTGTAGTATTTAAACGCCTCCACTGAGGCTCGAACTCACAACCTTCCAAATGGAAGTCCAACCCAGATACCATTGGACCACATAGTCCTGGTATCGAACCAAATACATAAAATAGGATGAAAGCAGCATAATTAAAGTTGCACACAAATTAGTTTAGTCAATTTTCAGTTAATAATCATAAAAAAATTGAAGATAGTCCTACTTAATTAAAAATTAGGCCAATATTGTTATTTTTGAAGGGTGAATAAAGCTTATTTTAACAATTAAAAAACATATTACTATTCCTGAGAAATAGAATACTATACATTAAAAATATAATGATTAGAAACATTGTTTTATATATATATATATATATATATATATATATATATATATATATAATTATCATGATTAGTTTAAAAATAATATATATTTAATAATAAATGAAATTACATTGAGTCTTTGAAGGGGCATCTTGATGATGATATTGTTGGAAGGAGGTGGAAATTAAGACGTTTGAAGTGGAAGATATTATTCTTGTTAACGAATAAAAATGGGAGAGTCGTTGGTCAAAGGTCGTTGGTTTGACCGGAGACTGGAGCGGGACAGATAAGTTAACGTCATCAGTGGCGGCTACAACTAATGAAGATAAATGTTAAGGGAGAATATGACTCTTATTTCTTACTCTTAATTTTTATTTTTTCTAATAAATTTTAAATGTAGATATTTTTTGTAACTTACATGATAAAAATATCATATATTTAGTTATCACTTTATAGAGTAAAAGTCATATAATAGAATTTGAAAGCACATGTAATATACCTCAAATCTTAATGGATTAACGCGGTTATTATTTCAATCATACTTAACTCAAAATTTTAGATATTGTATTGTTGTCTTCTGAGCAGTATAAATATCGTAACTGAATGTACTATATACTGAATGAATCTGGTTGAATAATAACTTTTAGGTTTTAGTCCAACCAAACCATCAACTTACATCAAGTCCTAATATATAATATATATTATTAGAAAAAATCTTACATTTGATCCTGCTTTAGTTTTGCACAAGTGGAAGTGGGGAAAGAGTGAAAGATGCGTGGACTTGGAATAAATTAAAACACATTCAATATAGGGTGTGTTTGGTTGGTGGGTTTTGCCCATAGGAATGTGTATGAAAGTGATTGTTGTTGTTTGGTTTATAGGTTTTTAGAATACTACTATTGGTTTCGAATACCCCATCAATTGAAAAACACATACCCAAATAAAATAAGGGTTTCATTCCCTTATTCATTCACAAGCACTACTATTAGTAACTATTCCCATTTCACCATACTACCAAACATGTTAAGGGTGTGTTTGATTCGCACATAGGAATCGGAATCGGAATGGGTATCAAATACTTGGTAATGGTAATGGGTTTTGGTGAAAGTATTTAGGGTGTGTTTGGTTCGCACATGGGAATCGGAATCGGAATGGGTATCAAATACTTGGTAATGGTAATGGGTTTTGGTGAAAGTATTTAACATGTTTGGTAGTAGGGTGGAATGGGAATGGTTATTAACTGCTTGAGAATGAAACTCTTATTTTATTTGGGTATGGGTTTTGTAATTGATGAGGTATTTGAAACCCATAATAGTATTCTTAAAACCTATCAACTAAACAATAACAATCACTTTCATACCCATTCCCATGGGCAAAACCCATCAACCAAACACACCCTTAATATGTTTGGTAGTAGGGTGGAATGGGAATGGTTACTAATAGTAGTGGTTGAGAATGAATAAGGGAATGAAACCCTTATTGTATTTGGGTATGAGTTTTTCAATTGATGAGATATTCGAAACCCATAGTAGTGTTCTAAAAACCTATCATTGGGCAAAACCCACCAACCAAACACACCCTAAATACTTTCACCAAAACCCATTACCATTACCATGTATTTGATACCCATTCCGATTCCAATTCCTATGTGCGAACCAAACACACCCATAATGTTCCCACTATGAAACGATACAACGTAAGAGGATATATTTGATTGACTAGTAAGTAGTAAGTCCATGGAGCTAAACACAATTTCCAAACGCTCTGCTGCTCAACAATCTGCAAAATGCATGCATACATGCAATCACGGAATTTGAATTGTATTCACAACTCTTAGAATTGGGTGAAGTGGAAACCTCACAGTACAAGAATTGAACTAATTACGTCCTCCCGTATAATATATAGTCTATAAATTATACAGAAAGATAAATCTTATTAAAATTAAAAAATCTTATACGACGAGTCAAGTGTGACAAGAATGAAACTCAACTCGTGACCTTATTTTATGTTATGTCGTTGAATTGATCACTAATTCTAAGATTTGAACTTTTTTTCATTGCTTTTTCTTTGTCCTCCCGTCCAACCAGTGCAAACTATGTAGAAGAAGTATATATGCTCATAAGTATAATTAGTCTTTTTATATTTTAATGGTAAAGAAAAATCATTGTCATTAATTATCCATGTGCATTAAATAAACTCAATTCCAGTACAATAACGTATAAATTATATAGGAGAGATAAACCGCACTAGAAAGACTCTATGTGACGAGCTGGACATAGTATTTTTCACAAGATCATATTACTCTAAAATAGAATTCAGCTAAGAATTTGTTGCAATTTGCTTAACAAGTGGATATGAGTCTACAGAATTGAAGTACCTAAAATGGCTTGTTTCTCCAATGAAAAATGCAACCTTTTGCTTCCACATGGCTGATTGCATCAGCCAGCAATGGCCTGAAGAAGCTGTTGAGTTTTACCTTTCTCAAACCTCTAAATGCCATCAGGGAACCTGCAAGCCCTTCACCACTTATGCCATTAACGTGCAAAATCGTCATTTCCTGCACACGCTTCATCGACGCCAGCGCCACAACCCCCACGTCCGTTACTGAACAGTACGACAAATTTATCTGCAGATCGAAAAGGAAATTAAACACATAAAACAATCGAACCATGACCTTTGGTCTGGCTCAGCCTAAGCTGATAGTTGGATTGCACATTAATAGTTATATGCTCAACACTACCTGTTTTATGCTGTGTAAGCATTGCACCAGAGAGACCATTCCCGTGTTGTCAATATTGTGGCACTTCTTTATGTCTAGCTTCTCCAGTTTCTTGCATCCACCAGCAACCGATGACAGCCCGACAGAAGAGACACGAGGGCAACCTCGAATCTCTAGTGTTCTTAACCTCGTACATCTTGACAGTGACATCAGTGAATTATCTGTCACTTTTTCACAGTATGCCATGTTAATCATCTCCAGAGCTTCGCAGCAGCCTTCTGCAATTGCTGCAATGCCCTCATCACTTATCCCGACGCACCTAAAACAGAAGACAACGACAGCCTAAGCTGATAGTTGGATTGCAGGTTAATGGTTATATGCTCAACACGTTCGAACCCGTGACATTTGGTCTGGCTCTGATACCAAATTGAAACATGTGCTGCATCTCAACTAAAAGCCTAAGCTGATAGTTGGATTGCACGTTAATGGTTATATGCTCAACAAGGTTAATTAGTAGAGATGTAAACCTGTACAGATCAAGCTCCTTTAGTTTCAAGCATTTCCCAATCTGGGAAACTCCATAATCTGTGATGTTCATGCATAGACCGAGCTTCAGACTCGACAGATTGCAGCATCCAGAAACCGAAATCAGACCTTCATCACTGATGTCATTATCCGTGATGTCCAGATCCTCGAGGGAACGACACCTCTCACCAATCAACACGAAAGCTTCTTTCGAAACCAAGCTACAAGACTCCATCCTTAGCGAAACGAGGGAGGTACACGATTCAGTAATGCTTTCTATCGAGGCACAGCTTATCTTCCGGCAGCAGGTAATGTCAAGCTTCTGCAACTGGCCATGTTTCCGAATGATGCAGGAGAGGTTCTTATCGGTAACTCCTATGCACTTACACAAGCTCAGATCCTTCAACGATGGAACCCAGTCTGCAATGGATTCCATCCCGGAACATGTTACTGTGCAGCCATCCAATCTAATTGACTGTAACTGTGAAAATTGCTGCAGAGATTTTGCTAGATCAGCTGTAACCTGAGCAATTCCAGCCAGTATTTATAGGAATATTAATACAAAGTGTCAAAGTAAACAGGCATCCATGATCCATAAAACAAACCTTGGACTTACATACGATCCATACGATAAATTCAGCTGGCGTAGGGATGAAATGCTGCTAGATAGAGAAGACAACCCGACATGGCTAATATTCTGGCAGCACGATACATTCAGTATCTGCAAGAACACCAAAATTGTTGGTCAGTCTGTTGACCTGGCAACCATAAAATTATAAGTTTGAATCTTTATGGTCCTTTGTTGGTTAGGACCACAGAACGGGGTTTAACCAGTGCACACTATTGGATAGTGGCTGCGGATTTTTCCAAGAACACCAAAATTGGAGTGCTCCAATTTGAAAACATGATTGACTAATGGGAAAAAAATGTAGAGAAACAAAGCAATATGCAGAGATGAGAAAGAAACAGATACCTCTAAAGAGTTGGAGCCATGTTTTAAACTTGCCAGGCCATCATCATCAACACCAGGGCATCCTACAAGAATCAACTCTTTGAGATGTTGTAGCTGCAGGATAGGCAAAAGGCACATCTCTGTAATCTGTGATGACCAGACAGGCAAAGGAGATACATCAGTTCTGGCTTTCTGTAATGACAATGATCCTGTTTGGTAAAATAATTAGCCTATCAGCCAATTTTGATTTGCTTCACTTGATCAATATTAGCTGTTTGACTTGGTTAAACAACCAATATGAGTGTTCGATTACTTAATTTTTTGTAACCACTTCTTGCTTCAAAACACTAAAATTCAAAAAGTTGCTCAAAGCAGCTTTTTTCAATTAGCTTTTTGAAAAAGTCATTTTGTATGTCATCAGCTATCAGCTAAATACTAATTTATCAAACGTCTTTCTACAATTAGCTAATGCTATCAACTAGTCAAATCCACTAACACAATCAGCTAACAGCTATTTACCAAACACCCCCATTGAGAGGAATCAAAAGAGGGGCAACCTTGGTCGAACTATCCACAAGGTTACAAATTTAATTCTCCGAAGGAGTGACTTATAGATCTTCTTGATTTAAGCAGGTCAGCTTGTCAGCTATGAGCAAGCTAACCTGATTCTTAGGCCATTTACCAATTAGTTAGGGTAACGAGACGAGGTTTACCCGGTGCACTCATACATTTAGATAGTGGATGTGAGTTTCCATGAAAAAGAGAGGAATCAAAAGATTAGAAAAGAGGATTTACAGGCAAGTAGGAGAGATCCAAACTGCGGATTTCCTTGCACTTGATAGCAATCAACCCCACACCTAAATCCCCAACTCTCACACACCACTTGAGAGACAGCAATCTCAGCTTCTTGCACCCCACCGCTATGCACCCAATCCCTATATCCGATATCAACTTACACCTCCCCAGCCACAGCTTCTCCAGGTTCTTGGCCTCGGCTATGGCGGCCGCCGCCGAGTCCGTTAACTCCGTCGCATTACACAGATTGATCTCAACCAAACCGGGGCACCGCAGAACCAAGGTGGACAATCCCACATTGCTGAAAAACCTGGAGCGCGAAAGGTCAACGGAGCGGATAATGGCGGCGGCCTTGCAGGAGTTGGAGATGGAAACGAGCAGTTCATCGTCCACTCTGGGACAGAGGGTGAAATCAAGATGGGAGATAAAAGGGTACCTTTGGAGAGATTTGGCAATGAGGTTAGTGTCCAATGGCTTGAGTACTCTCCTGTGGCGTGATTCAATGGCGAAGAATGATCTGCAGGCTTGAGAAAATGACTTTTTGGATTCTGGGTCGGTGTCTAAACGGTCTAGGATTGAGAAGATGATCTCTTCTGTGAGAGATTCAAATTGGGTGCTGGATTTAGGCTTGTCTTCTTGCATGGTGTTATAATTTCATTGGAAAATGCCAGAGAAATGGAAAGACTGAAACTTTGACTATCTTAGGAGATGTATGTTGATGAACCAAGACAGGAGGGTATGGGGGAGAGAGAAGACAAGAATGCATTGTTTATTCATGCATGGTGGCAGCCAAGTATGATAAAACAGTTTTTTTAATAATAATTTAACAGGAAACGGAAACTCATCTAGGGGAGTTTCAGAGTGGGGAAGAACATGTGCCAAATTACAATAACATCCTTAGGAGAAACCCTCAGCTCAAATTATTAAAGGTCATGGTTGAAATTCCACCACAAGAAAATGTTGATAAAAACTAAACTCATAACCTTCAAACACGAAAATAATGTTTTGCCTAACCTAAAATACTTATTTCTCTCTATCGAAATGGTTTACTGCAACACCAATATCTAGAGGTATGGTGTTTGTTGTTAGTTATGAACATTTTTTTTTGTACATAAAACTCTGATAGTTGGCACTCAAATGACAAATTATGCACAGGAACACATAATCAAATCCCGACAATTCCAACGTGAGAGCATTAACCCTCCCACTTAAGAAGTGGTTAAATCACCGTAATTTATCCCTCTACCATCTTGTCAGTAGGGTGTAAGACCTTTTGGACAAGAAAATTTTGTCTTTGTGGGCAAGCTATGAACCAATTTTTTTATTTAAAAAAAAAAAAAAAAAAAAAAAAAAAAAGTGATCACCAATTAGACAATTACGTACTACTTAGTACAATATTTTGTAGACTGCGTGAGAATTTGCCAACCCATTTCTTATGGCCCCACCTGTTAGATTTTCCTATTTTTAGTAACCATAGAAGAAGTGAAAAAGTCGCCATTTTCAGGTGGTGCCCACTGCCCACTGGCTGTAGAGGAAAATCGAGACTGTTGATGAGTGGGGCAGAGGATATCTTCTACTCTTCAAGTGCAAATCTTTTATACGGAAATAGCATACTGCATTTTTCCAAATTCTTTGCCATATAAAAAAAAAATATTTAAGTTGAACTCAAGGACAACTTTGTTACAAAGCAAGAAAATGCAAGAGTTAAATGAATGACCATAACAAAAATATAGAAGACCTTGGCACCTTGAGCATGAGAACCTATTTCTTGGCATAGGAGATAGCCATAGGATTCTGGGGTGTAATTTTGAAGCCTTGAAGGGCCTGCATGGCAACTGAGGACTGGACGTCATCTTCGAATTCCACAAACGCGATGCCTGGCTTTGCTTCTATCATTCGAACTTCCCTAAAACCGGGGTACTGATTGAAGAGCACTTCCAGCATCATGCTCGTAGTCTCGTGGGGCAGGTTCTGTATGAAGAGTATGTTATTTGGTTCTGTCGTTTCTTGTGCTCCTGGCTTCCCTTGGCGGGCAGCAACCTGCAGAATTTTCCTCAATTTCGTTTATGTTCAGTTGTGATACCAAAAACTGACTCAATGGATTAGACAATGTATGAACTATGAACTAATCATGTCAATGGGAAATTTTTCAAGTTCGCAAAACCAATGCACAAAACAGTATATTAAACATTGGGCAATTTGACCATCTATAAAACAAGTAAAAATGAAAAGGTTGCAGAAACTTACAGCTGGGCCTCCATTTGCATCAGCTCTTTGGCCATTAGCAGTGCCAGAATGCTGTGCTTCTTCAGTGCGTTTCCTCCTTTCAGCTGAACATTAATGTCAGTGAGAATGTGAGATTATCAATATCACACATAACAAACAAGTGAAATGAAGAAAACCCAAATACAAAAATAAGATTCCTAGATGAGCAGTTAAAAAAACCGATGTTGTTCATTCTTTGCTAAAGATATGGAGGTTTCATCACTAATTTTGCCAGTCGAAGGGCATAATGATTAATTCTCACTGGTGTTGAAATAAACATCATCTAAAACCTAAAGCTATCATCCCCTACAAGTAAAGTCTTCCTCATTAAATGAGCAAGCCACTCTAGTGCCTTCTAGGTTTGCTATGATCCGAGGTCTCTTGGACCAATGAAGTGTAAGCTCCAAATTTAACTCCAGCTGGGCTCTGAATTAACTTTATATATGACAGAGTGACAGATCCATTGCAACACAGCGTTAAATTTATCCCTACAGTGTTCCACTACCAACATGCATGACATAGAGTTTAAACTGTATGGAAAAAAGCGAAAGGGCTGACTACTATGAAATTGATGTTTACCTTTTTCATCCTGCTTCTTCTTCTTGTCATAGGTACCTTCAGCTTTAGCAATGCAATCGGACTTTGCTTTTGCATATTGTATCCGCTGCATTAGTGGCATTGTGTCAAACAGTGAAAAGCTCTATCATTTACTTCTTCAGAACAGTTCCATTGAAACGGTGTATACTAACCATTGGTTTATCATAAAACGGGAAATTCTGCATCTGTCTCACAGCATTACTTGCAGCTGTAACTTCACTGAAGACAACCCATGCCTGCCCCCTGAGCTTCGCTGTCTTCAAGGCTACAATGTCCAATATCCTACCATACTGTGAGAATAAACAATAAAGAGACCTCTTCAACTCTGCCCACAAAAAGGGAACTTACATCAGTAGCATATAGTAAATACTTAGATCTCTCCAGCATCAGATAGCATGCTTTATTGTAGCATCAGATTATAAGCACATAAGGAACTACCACAATGACCTAATCCATGGAGATCCGACGAACATCTAGTTCTAATTCTATGAAATACTATGTGTTCTCCTATTTCCAAAATGATCGATATTATTAGCAATATCCAACGAAATGCTAAGAACACAAGGAAAGCTACTGGCTAACTTTCCGTTGCTCAACGGACTAGGAACCTGAATTGAGAGCATTTCAAGTAGAAAATAGCTAATATAGCAGCTGAGGAAGAAGAAGTTTCAACAAGAAAGTAAAACCCTAGAGCCAAACCCTTAAAGACGCTAGTAGAATAAACGCGTAATACCTACCTTCTTTCTTGACCTTCTCGCTTAAGTTCTTAATGTAGATTGTTTGATTCGGCGGTATGTCTCCGGTGAGCATCATCTCCGACCACCTCCGCACCTCGCTGCGACTCTGCGAGTCCGCTACTCTACTATGTCTGAGCTGAGAGCTTCCTGTGTTTGAACTTTGAATACTGGAACATTGTTTCCAAAGCCAGTAACTTCTTTAAACTAATTTTTTTTATTTTTTAATTTCTTATTATCACTTAACGGAGATATATTTATGTATAGTTATCAATTGTTACCCGGGTGAAGTTTAGAAAAAATAATTAAGGATCTAGTCTCAGCGACAGTGTGACCTCTATGTTCAATTAAGTTATCATAATTTATATTTTTTCAGATGTTTTGTCTGACCGTGTTCAAAATGTAATTGAAAAGAAGTATATATAGTTATTAGAATATTAGTTAAGGTTAGAGCTGCTATCAGGAAATCGGTAACCACTACATAAAAATGAATTGCCAATAATACTTATCTTGTAATCTAAATAAAAGATTACAAAAAAATCTCATCAAATGATAATAAAATAATAAACTAATTAAGTTTAGTCATAATTGTTTAAAAGAATAATGGTCAAATAGACCATCGAACTGCACGCAATAATGCAATTAGGCCATTGAACTTTAAAAAATAACAATTAGGTCACTAAACTAACCAATTTCTTTCAATTAGTCTAATTTACAGGTTTTGCAGGTTAGTAACAGGTCACCCAAAAAATTTAAAATAATTTTTTAAAAAATTATTATTTAAAAATAATAAATTAAAATATATTTATAAAAAAAAAAACATTTTTTCGTCTCTGTCGGACTCTTCGTCTCCGGCCATAGAGACGAAGAGTCTCTTCGTTTCCGGCCACTGGCCGGGGACGAAGAGTTTCTTCGTCTCCGGCAGAGATGAAGAAACATTTTTTTAAAAAATATTTTTAAATTTTTTATTTTTAACAAATATTTTAATTTTTTAGATGACCTGTTACTAACCTGCAAAACTTGTAAATTAGACTAATTGAAAGAAATTGGTTAGTTTAATGGCTTAATTGTTGTTTTTTTAGGTTCAGTGGCCTAATTGCATTATTGTGCAGTTCGATGGCATATTTGACCCTTATTCCTTGTTTAAATGTAGACAAAAGATCACAATGAAAGAAATCAATTTATCTTTAGTTACTCATAACTGTAAAACTCATTTTGTGACCATAGTTATAAAGAAGAGAAAATTTCAATTTTGGTCATACGACTATAGGGGCCTTGTTAATTTCAACACCTAACTTTCAAAAGTATCAATTCAGTACCTTGAGTATATAATTTTTCTCAATTTTGGTCATTCCGACCAATTTACCGGTCAAATTCGACCGGAAAAAATAATAGGCACAAAACTGAGGGGCAAATGAGTCTTTTCCTCCTCCTCCTCTCGGCTGCTTCATCTCGGCTTCATCTTCTCCTCCGCCGTCGCCGACCACGACCGCCCTGATCATCTTCTCCTCCGCCGTTGACTTCAATAGCCCACAAAAAGAATCAACCTTTCCGCTTCCCTTTTTTCACACTCGAGAAGAAAAAGAAAAAATATACAGAGCTGAGAAGAGGGGAGCAAGAAACGTATACACTAAGCGAGGGTGTAGTGGGTTTGCTGCTGTGAGTGTGGTCTATGTAAAGAAGAAGAAATGGGCTGTTTACAGTCCAAAACTGTCAATAATCTGTCCCCGGACCAAGACCCTTCTCACCCTGAACCCAAACCAGATCTTGGTAACTACTTTTTTCTCTCTATCTTTATGCAAAACCATTGGGTATTGCTCTTTATATTCAACACTTAGTACTGTCATTATGTATGCTATGTGTTGCCCGCATGGGTAGCTCAACTGGTCATAGAGGTGAAACTTTGGAAGAATGACCAGGGATTGAGTCTCACCAGCGGCAGTGAGGGGGACTCCTTGTGCGCAGTGAGCACCAGTCTAGCTTCTGTGATTAATGTTCAGTTGAGTCACCATGATTTACAACCTCCCACCGCTCTGTCGAACTTGTTCTGGGTGTTCGCTCATTTAACCCTTTCGGTATACATTTTTTAAAAAATCTTTTCTGTTTTTGTATGTGAACTAAGTTCTTAATATGCTTTTTTTTTTTTTCGCTCATTTAACCCTTTCGGTATACATTTTTTAAAAAATCTTTTCTGTTTTTGTATGTGAACTAAGTTCTTAATATGCTTTTTTTTTTCTTTTTCTTAGAACTTTGTTTGGTGTTCGATTGCATTCGGGCTATTGGATTAATTCTCTCATTCACACCTGCCGCGGCTAATCAGGGCGGTCGTGGTCGGCGACGACGGAGGAGAAGATGAAGCCGAGATGAAGCAGCCGAGAGGAGGAGGAAAAGACTCATTTGCCCCTCAATTTTGTGCCTATTATTTTTTCCGATCGAATTTGACCGGTAAATTGGTCGGAATGACCAAAATTGAGAAAAATTATATACTCAAGGTACTGAATTGATACTTTTGAAAGTTAGGTGTTGAAATTAACAAGGCCCCTATAGTCGTATGACCAAAATTGAAATTTCCCCACAAGAGAGTAAATCAACTTAGTTTACCTATAACTAAATAAAATTTTACTTGTAATCCTAAACAGCAAATGACAACAAGGAGATAACCAACTTATATATTACCAAAAACCGACTAAAATTAAGAAAGTCAATAGTAACTTTTACATGAAATCAAACCTAGAATCTTATAATTACCAAGTATAAATGAGGTATTATAATGGGTGTACACGCGAATGCTTATAAAATTAGAGAAGTCATTAATCTAAAAGTTTGAATCAATCCAAATAGCATATGCATCCTCTTAAGTCTTAATGGTTAGTTATACGACCAAAATGAAGAGCATATCTACACAGTATTTATGTTATAAAAAAAAAAAAAACAAAAAACATAGAGTAATCATCAAAAACTTGCCAGCCATGGAAGTGCCTGGAGTAAAACTTCAAAATAGGTTGTAATCTATGATCTTCTTTAAACCCTCTCAGCTATCCTTCTTCCCATTTTGACAGAGTGCCAAGATCAGAGAGCGAGATTCAACTCGGTTCTCGTGCATGTATGTCCATGGCGCTTCTTTACCTGTCAAGTGCTTTAGTTGGTCAGAACATCCATAGCCAATCAAGTTAGTGCAGGCATGGCACAAAATCTGTCACCACCATCTCAAAAATGACAGGAATTAGAATGGTGATTGGCACAGCGGGCACGTTGACTTGTGAGAAGTTGAGAACCATTTGTAGAGGCAAGCCGAGTGAAACTTGTGCTTGCAGGTCTTGCAAGCTAGGCGCGGGAGGCTATGGTTGGAGGTGTGGATAACGCTGTAACATATGGGACACTCTTCAACGCCTTCGAATTCCTTATCAAAGTTGCTCTTCCATATCTGTATAGCTTCTGCTAAGGCTCCATTCTTGTATAACAAACAAGATAAAAGTATCATCATTCTCTCTTCCTAAGTTTTACAGGATGAATTATGCTATGCATTCAAGAGGAAAGAACATCTCAAAAGATAAAACAAAAATTACTTCATTGCAAAATTTATTTTCTTGCACGGAGCAGAAACATATGAATGAGAAGACAAAGGAAGGAGGAAAAGGAGAGGGTTAGGTGCTGACTGAAGACACAGTGGACAGGAGATACCTGATTACGAACAAATGACATCATGGACATCAACCACTTTCTCTTCTTCACTTCACTAATACCGAGGCTCCTGGTGCAATCTACATCAACAGATCGCAAAGGATAAGATGCAGGAAGACGAATTACAAGGTCCATTCCCGTTTCATCCTTTGTATAGGTAGCCACAATTTCATTCGCGGATTTGCTAACACTGACTGAGAAATTCTCATCAACAAATTTTGCTTTCTTGATCTGCAGTGAAACAAAATCATTAACTTATACTGCTATAGCAACATGAATTACAATAACAAGGTAACTCTTACCCAAAGCACTAAGCTTTTAAGTCGTACACTCAAAATTACATGATTTGTAAATGAATGAATTAATGAAGTTCATGAAAATTTGGAAATTTTGCTTAAATTTCACTTTCAAACCGAGCTGACAAAAAAGCAAGACTAGTCAAATGAAGAGAAATAGGCTCCTAACAGAGCGTTTGAAGAAGATATAGCAGAACTTAGAGTCCTTTAATTTTACTAAGAAATTATGGGAGAAGCTTTAGAAGTTAAGGTCATGTATATACCAGAGAGAGTTCATTTGCAATGAGAGGTGGGCTACAATATGATTTGGTAAAGAATTCAACCGCAGAAGATGTAGAGCGATCACGTATATCACCGAACCACCCACGAACATATGCTGGAAGAGTTTGAAGAATGAGACCAAATATTGCACCAGCAAGCATAGCGGTTTTCTCTGGTCCAACAGGCCAAAGTGATTCTAGAGCAAAAAGAGCTGAACTGCAAGTGATGGCACGTGTTGCAGCTCTAGCTGCTTCTGATACTGAAGCAGGAAGTTCTACATCCTTCTTTTTCACAGCTGAAGGTGCACAAAATTCCAAAGGAATATGCTGGAAAAGGCAATCCAATATTGTTGAAGAAGCAGAATCTTGAATGTATTGGACAATTTTCTCCCTTGAAGGTGATGATGATGGTAAAGAAACTAGATGTGAGAGCAACAAAGACCAAGCTAGAAAGACATTTATCTGTAAAATTTAAACAGATGTTAGAAAATTAACATTACTAGCATATCTTGCATTCCCTCTTAGATCATATGAATACATCGTAGACAGTAGATGAGGAGAGTTGTAAACATAAGCAACTGACCCGTTCAGATGACAGTAAATCCATTTCAAGAACTTCAGTTGGAAAGTTTTCCAGCTTGGAGGAAATTTCTTCCCTTAGATGAATGTTCTCTTCAGCAAACGGCTCAGGACTGCGGTAATCCTGGTTATGGGAAGCATCTTCATCTGATGAACTTTCTTTCTTCAAAGTGCCAAAAGCTAAGTGTGATACGGGTTCTGTAGAAAGAATAACATAAGCGGCAAACTGCAGGGAAGGAAGTGGCTTGGGAGAAAAAAGCAGCACAAAAAGAGAGTTAATTGGCCCTTTACTTAGCCCCCAAATTTCAACTGATTTCACAGCCTTCTCTCTCACATGTGAAGAGGATTTGACAACATGTGAAG